GTTAGGAAACAAAACTTCCAGAACACGGCCACACAGCCCGGAAGACCCACACCAGCCAGTGGATATGTATGTTGGATGTTACTGTAATACTATTGTATGTCTCATCTCCCTAGCACTGGTCAAGCTGACTTTTTCTTTAGGCAGCCATTAAGAAGAAGATAATTACATGAATCGACAGAATGTGAATTGTAGTGTTATTTAGAGTATTGCTGAACTGGACAGCCCATCCTTGTCAATTGTAGTGTGGTACTCTGAACAACTCTGAATACACAGACCCAATTTAGCAATTTCTTTTGAATTGAGCACAGCAGATATGTGAGCCCTTACACTTGTGGTAAAAAACTTCAGAAAGGATTTATTTCACCAATTTTGTCATGTGGGATTTGTCAAAGAAAAGGAAGGGATATTCTAACCATATTTCAGTGAATGATTTCAGGGTTATTATCAGCATATGACTCAGATTTTACAGCATACCCATAGGTCCAATCCAGTCTGTGAAGTTTCTCCATTTGGCCTACCAAGAGGCTTTGTCCTCTTTCCTGAAACCCTGCAGAACTGAAGGCAGGATTAATATAAAGGCAGAGGAGTAGTTAGTCTGGAAAGTCTGCGGCTGAACAACAGCTTCCAGCAGTTTAAGTTAGCATGGCCACTGGTGACTCAACAACATTTGAAGAGTTTTTAGTTCCCCAACCTTAGTATACCACAAAGGACAGCTCCTTTCTTGTTCAGACCAATGATTCTAGGATGGAAGACTTTGTGTAACCAAGATGATAAACTAATATTACTAACTTCCTTGTCAGATATGGCTGGGCTCCTTGAAGCTCTGTGCTTTGGCCAGAGCTGTATGGTGAATTTCCAAAGTCCCTACTTCACAATCATCAATAAAGCTGAAGGCTTGGTGTGGATTCTGAATTTGATAACTAGTGTTAGTTGCATGACAGCTACTTCTTAGCAATAAGTATTTGTAAGAATATCCAAACAGCCATCTTTTTATATCTGGCATTCTGTGCAATTGTATGATATTTGGCTGGACAGGCAAGTAGTTGTGTCTAAGACTGACAAAATACCTCATTCTTTTTAATAAAACCTTTCTGGACATGGTCCACTACCTTCTGCTGCAGTGCTAGATAGGGTAAGCCTTTTATAGACAATTAATCTGCTCTTCCCAAACCGAACAATCACCGCAATGTCAGGATTTATTGGCACTTATTGTACCACTGACTCTTGACTTTCAACAAAGTAGAAAACATTCTTGGCCTAGAGAAAATAAGGTGAAAGAGCTGAGGGTTAGCAAGACTGTTTTTGCTACAAGTAAAATATAGTTCATTATCTCCACAAATGAACTATTCAAGTTGGAATTTTAAAGTAATTAATAACATTCTCAAATAGCTAGCAGAATTTCCTATATGGATCAGAAGTGGAATATTGCTATTGACAAATATCCACAGTACGTTTTCAGGAAGCAAATGAAGTAGTATCATAGTAGCAGCCTTTTTAAAGAATCAAATGGACAACATTCATTCATAGTCTTTATAAGGAATGGCCACAATAAATTAACTTAGTTTAAGAAGGCAAAGAAAATTCAGCTTTCTACCACAGTTCTTAATGAGAGATGCATTTTATAGTCATTTCCAATAAAGTTTTATTTTCAATAAAGATTAGTCAGTATACTAACATCTGTATTTGTATCCCTTTGTCTTATTTGACCCTTATTCCTTTCCCAGCTCCCCAGATATGTTAATATACTGATTAATCTTTATTCATTGAAAATCAAGACCTAGGTCAAAACATATTGTCTAAAAAAATGTCATGCCATAGATTGGTGATGGCTCCCTTCTATGGAGTGGCTTAGTCTGAGATATTCTGTTCTTAACAAACTTATTGATCTTCTCAAGGCTTGGCTGTTTAAGAAAGTGTTCGAGAAAGTGTTTTAGCCTACCCCCATAGGCAGTACTTCCAGTAGTAATGTATGGCTGTGAGAGCTGGACCATAAAGAAGGCTGAGCGCCGAAGAA